CCCCCCCCCATTCTCCACACACTACCAGAGCCTTCCTTTTGAAAGACAAACCTGATCCATCGTGACCATGCCCTTTCTTGCCTTCCAGCGAATCATGAGCAGTAGTTCTCCGCCGCCTTCAGGACAATCCCAGATTCTTAGCAGACACTGAAGGCTCTTCATTAGCTGGCCCCTGCCTCAGACTTCCCCAGCTTTACTGTTAGCATCAGAATGGGTTAGGGTTTCCCCAAATTCACTTTGCCCTTCCAGGCTTCCATGTCTTTGAAGAAACAGTCCCGTTTTATGGAAGTTCTCCCTGCCCACGCCTTGGCCCAGCCAGAGAGGGTGCCTCCAGCCTGTGACCCCACAGCACTGAGCGCGTGGCGTGGTGTCGGCACCAGGGGGCTACAAGTGCATTTGGCTGTGGCCTCCCTGTACTGGAGTGTGAGCCCAGTGACGGCATGGACTGTGTCTTTCGCTGTTGTGATTCAAGTATCCAGAATAGTCCAAAGCATTTAGCAAAAATCTCATTAATGCAGAATGAAGGAAGGAAATAGCTCTTTCAATGGAATGGGTTGAATTATTCTTGGGTTGCTGTGGCTTCATCAATGAAATAAAGGCAGTTTGGTGCCTGTGAGCAGGGAGGGGATCTGGGAATTGCCTTCCTGGGTTGGAATCCTCTTCTGTGACTTTGTGCAAATTACTTAACCGCTCTCTGCACTAGTTTCTTTGGCAGGAGCCAGAAACAATTGTAAAGCCTACTTCACAGGGATTTTGTGAGAGTTAAACCAAATATTGCACATAAAGCATTTAAAAAGTGCTGGACAGAGTAATTGTTCATAGGTTATTATAATTATGTGATTAAAAAATATGTTTATCTCATCTTAGATTTTTTCCTAATTGACATAAAAAAATTGACATTTTTTTCTCAATTTCTTTCTCAAAAGGCAAGATCACGAACATCATTAGTGAAGGTAGCCTCAGCTCCTCCGCGGTCATGGTGCTGGTGAACGCCGTGTACTTCAAAGGCAAGTGGGAGTCGGCCTTCACCAAGAGCGACACTGTACACTGCCGCTTCAGATCCCCCAAGGTGTGAAATCTATTTAATCTAGGAAGTTTTTTACGATAGTATTTCTTTACAGCAATCATAGTATTTACGTGGACAAATGCCTGGCTCACCTGTTCTTTATTAATTTTTCTGCTGCATTAACAATATTATATGGTCAAGAGCTTATAAAATAAACTTTCTATTTTCCTGCTAATGCAGGTGATGGCATACAACTGGAGGTGCCCTGTAAATTGCTATTTCTTAAAATATATTTGAAATTGAGCAAAGTAATAACATATGAAATTATTTGAAGTTATTCCAATAGGGGGCCTGTAAGAAGAAAATATGACAAAAGTGTGGGGGTTTTTTTAGGGATTCTAACTGCAGGGTGCACAGTTAGAGTCATTTAGTATCAACGATTTTTCCTTAGTCAAGGCAAATATGTGGTTCTTTTTACAAAACAAAAATTATGTTTAATAAAGTTATGTATCGGTTATATCTATTTCTTCATTTAATTCTCTTCGATTTAAAACAACCTTCATAAAATATATAGTCCTTTTTTTTTTTTTTTTTACCAATTTGAACATAATAATCTTAGTATAATAGAAACGTCAAAGGCCTTGGAGTCAGGGCTATCGCATCGGAGGCCTCAGAGAAGCTACCTGGTCTGAGCAAGTTAGCAAAACCTCTGAAGCCCCCTCCCCGGTGATGCCAAGCGACTCCACGGCTCACCTCTACTCTCCCTTCCAATCGCTCAGTCTATTATGTTAAGGTGGAGACACTGAGATTTAACTTTTAACCTTAGTTTTATTTTTCAAGTGGAAAATGCTACTGAAATGTTCTTTCTGCATTTCCCCACATCAGAAGTTTAAGACGCAGGAGTGCTGAATGCTGGTGGAAAGGAAAGGCCACTGGCGAGCAAGGGGGTGGGAATAAAGGCCACCTAGGCCGGCTGGAGCCACAGTGTGGCAGGAGCGAGGCGTCTGGGAGGAATGTCAGAGGAAGGAGGTAGACAGGGACTAGGGTGACCCCCAGGCTGGCTGTGGTGACTGCCCTTTGCAGCCTTCTTGCGTGGAGTGCAGCCAGCCCCGCCGTGTGTCCCTGACGCAGGGTCCTAAGCACAGCCTTGAGGAGCGAGTTTACAATGCAGGTGTCTCCGTGGGAACAAAGAGAGGGGCGTGGAAATATTTTGAAATTTGTATGTGACAAAACAATAATGTAATAAAGCCGAATAAAAATGTAGCTCTGCCTCTAGAGACATTATTTGTCTAATTGCAGTGGGAAGGGTGTTAGGGAGCATCAGCGTTTTAGGGATGGGCTGGCACTGTTAAGATCTTGGAAGTGAGTTTTTTCCCCCGCTTTCCTTTGACACCTTCCCACGTAGACGGCATTTGTTGAGTCATTTCCTCCCATGAAGACACAGCGAGCCTGTCCCCTACACTGTTTGTGGGTTTTTGTTGATGGTCCTACAGAAGTTTTTACTTAAATAAGTGTTAATATGTAATACCTGTTTACTGTGACCTTCCTGCCCATCTTATGTCCCTTATAGCTACGACACACAGTGTCTAATAGACTATGGAAACTATCACTGACGTCAGTTTTGGTGAAATGACCCCTTTGCTAAGAAGCCTTGTTTCAGCCTTTCTCTGGCATGACTCAGCTGTGTGACCCCTGCCCTGGCACAGAAATGCGAAACCGTGGCTGTAAGATGCCAGGGCCTATCTGCACCAGGCTGGGTTCGGCAGGCGCCTTTCCCCCTTCACTGCTCCAGGGGTGTTCTTTCTGAGGCTCAGACTCTCAGTCAAAGAGGACATGCTTTCCAGAGGGAGGAGGGCACTGGTGCCAGCGCAAATGGTTATCTCTCATTCTCCTGTCCAGCTTTCTGTACGAAAGGGAGAGATGACAGGCAAGATGACAAGTTCGCAGAATTACATTCTTTTAGGAAATGGATGGTTTATTACACGTCTGTGATGTTTCCAAATCTGCAAATGATATTTCTCAAGGTTAAAGCTACTGTGTTAATTTGAGTGATATTGTAAAATATTTTGCAGGAATTGAAAAAAAATTTTTTTACAAGACCTCATTCTTAAATCATGTAGTTTTAATAGTAGTAGTCTGTATTTTATTTCTAATGAGAGAAAAAAAATCTATAGCATTCATTTTTAAAGGTAATACTATTTAAAAATTATTTATTACTTATTATATAGACATTTTCAGATAAAACACTAAGTGCAAGGCAATGTTCCAAGTGCTAGATATATTAACTCTCAAAATCCTTACAATAATCCTATGCAGTAGAGACTATCATTACCCTCCTTATATAGATGAGGAAATGGAGGCACAGAGAGGTGAAGTAACTTGCCCAAGGTAGCACAGCTGGGGAGTTTGAAAGTCAGTTCAGCACCGAGATGCGCACCAATGCAACCACTATTGGTAACATGTGAGGAAGAACCTACAAGAAGGGGAACATTCTCCTTTTTGCACCTGGTCCGCCAGTGAAACAAGGTGGGCTCACTGAGATGTTTTTGTGACTTGACTTCCAGTGTCCCGGGAAAGCAGTGGCCATGATGTATCAAGAACGGATGTTCAATCTGTCTGTCGTTCAGGACCCGTACATGCAGGTTCTGGAACTCAGGTATCAGGGCGGCATAAGCATGTACATACTGCTGCCTAAGAATGAAAACCTCTTGCAGGTAAGTTGCCCCTCCCGCTTCCAGCGTTGGGAACGGCTTTTCGGATGCTGTTAATTGTGTGTTCACCCATCAACTTTATGATGTCAGGTTGTTGGAATAGTAAAGACTTACCCACTTCTTCAGTTATTTGACAAATATTTAAGGAGTACCTACTATGTGCCTGGCATTGTTATGGGTTCGAAATTGCCTTCCCTCAGTTTAGCATGATTTTATTTAAATAGTTGTAAAATTGGAACCCTCTCAAATCTCAGCTGTGGAGGGAATAGGGCATGAATTTCGGTCTTCTTTGTCCTTGGGCTTGAAAGCTGTCTTCAATGTATATTGAAATTCTGATAGACTAAGCATTTTCAGGCAGGAGTGATGTGTTGGCATTTTGAAGTCCTAGCCTTTTGAGAATTAAAATGTATGATCTCACTCTGCTGCTGTGTTGCTAGGAAAAGCAGAGGTTAGGGCCTGCCCTGCCACTGGTGTAGCAAAAGTAACAGACTGGCATAGTGCAAGGGGCAGAGGGTGGTGGCCATGCGAGCCAGACGTCATCGCTGTATCTCAGATCCCAATACTCTTCCAGCCCTTCGTCTTCTCTTCCTCGTGAATTTGGCCAACTCGGTCTGCAGCCTGCAGTTCTAGAAACCTAGATCTCATCTCCCTTCTCTCTACTTCCTATCAAAAGGACTATTTATTGAGCGCTACTATGTGCCAGGCGCTTCATTTATATTATCTTGTTTAACATGAACAGCAAGTGAAATGTCATAAATTGGCATTTTTAAATGGAAAGTGTGACAATATAAAATATGGGTACTCATATTAAATGATTCACTTGATAATATTTATACCAATGAGATTTTAGCACACATCAATTATTTAACTTGAAATAATCTGCAATCATAGAAAAAGAGGCAAAGATAAAACAAGCAGTAGGCAACTCAAAAGATAGATTTGTTCCTGTATTTACTGTCTGAGTTGTCTCTTTTTGTAATAGATTGCCCCAGATAAGATTAGTATAAGTCTACATACCTACATAATCTTACATTACCAAGTAATGATGAGGACGTTGGCTTTGCAGTGGGCTAAATGAGAAAAAAATTCTAACTCAGAATAAAAAGTTATTACAGATTAATTTCAAAATGGATAATTTACATACAGGAATTTTAAATAAGGTTCAATTTTATTGTATAAATTTGGATTCTTGCTAAAATACAGGTAAAGTTGAATAGCTGTGAAAATCTGTCTGGGATTCCAGTGGGCCTGAATTTGAGAACAATTGCCCATATATAAGATCTGGAAACAACATGCATGAAAAATCTTCCCATTTTAAGCCTGGAGTGATCTATGACCAGTTCTCAGGAGAATCTAATATGTGAATCATTTGGGGGCAGCAATGCCGTTGGAGAGAGATGTGGGCTCCTAGCTATGTAACTAAGTTTCCTAGCTGTGCACTTCAGGCACATCTCCCCACGTTCTCTTGAGTTTCAGTCACCTCATGTGGAGCAGGAGAGTTATTTTGGATCCAGGCCTCCCTGACAGTGTGAGTGATTGTACTGGGAGCTATTGATCACCCAAGTCCTTGAGGCTAGAGCTCCGTGTTCCTTGCCTCGGGTCACCTGGCTCATTCCCATTGGTTTGTTCCTGCAAGCTACGCAAACATTACCATTTTCTATATCTCTCATCAAGAGGAAATGGTCAGGCAACACTGACTTAAATGACTACTGAGCTCCTTTCTCCCTCTGATGATGTCTGATTCCCTAGTTCCTTCGCCTGCCCATCGTTCCACTTTGGCTAAATATGTTCATATGTGGGCAGAGAACAGAAATTCCCTGGGATACAATTAAGTCACACCCTGTCATGGCAGAACAAAGTAAATATGTGATTTATTAAAGAGTGCTTGAACTATTAGTCTTAATCATTTCCCATTTCCAAACTCTCCAGGACCCATTCACATACTGACGCATAAATACAGTATACAGGAGAGGATAATTATGGAAAACCATATATCTTTGTAGTTGCTTCCTTTGTTTCTTAACCACATGGTTCTAAATTGCCTTTTAAATATTACTACAGATTGAAAACCAACTGACCTTTGAGAATCTAATGAAATGGACCAACCCAAGGAAAATGAGCCGCCAGTACGTCAAGGTCTTTCTTCCTCAGTTCAAGATAGAGAAGAATTATGAAATCAAACGCTACTTACAAGCCCTGGGGCTGAAAGATATCTTTGATGAATCTAGAGCTGATTTCTCTGGCATAGCTTCAGGAGGTCGTCTGTATTTGTCTAAACTGATGCACAAGTCGTACATAGAGGTTAACGAGGACGGTACAGAGGCAGCTGCTATCTCAGAAAATAACATTGTAGAAAAGCTACTCCCTATGTCTACAGTGTTCAGGGCTGATCACCCATTCTTATTTGTCATCAGGAAGAATGACATCATCTTGTTTAGTGGCAAAGTCTCTTGCCCTTGACAATCCAATTGGTTTCTATTATGATAGTCCCATCAACATTAAGGAACCACCTCAAGTGAATAGATATAGTTTAATGGGAAGCACGTGGAGCTCCCTTTAGTTTACTTTCTTCTAACATTGGTCAGCAGGTGACTTCGGTGACTTGACCCTTCTCAGACACCTGGTTGATTATCCCAATCTTGCTCTTAGCATTTCTACCACCATCTGCCTCACCCATTCATAATTTCATTGCCTGTCTACCCACACTCATTTCTACCAGTCTGCCCCATAGCCACTTGCACACAGATCTGGGTATGGCATCTGGGAATTGTGAACATGTACTCCACTGATAATGACAATGGAGAATCAGTCCTAAAGATGTTTTCTGAAATTCTGTAGGTAACCCAGATATTTTAGTGTTATAGTAAATGATCTAGGAAGTAAGTCCACATGCTAGAAATAAATGTGAGGGATAACTTTTCCTTGGTGACTTCAGAAGATATTAGAGTTGACTTTATCATTGACATAAAATCAGTCTCTAATCTAAAAGTGAAAAAATATGGATTTGGAATTGGGGGCCAACCAAAATATTTCATGAATAACTTCAAATGAATGAATGTCTTTTGGCTCTTCCTTGATAGACACTTAATATGTACATAGTTTTTTCAAATATTAAATACCTTTTAACTGTTACGAGTTGTTATGTATAGTGTATTATTTCACATGCTGTGTAGTTTATGCATGTTTTCTCTATTTATCAGAATAAAGAAATACAACGTAACTGTACCATGTGATTCTTCTCTTGTGACCAAGTGTGAGACTGCAGCAATATTTTTTTCTAGGCCAAGCAAGCAAGCAATGGAAAAGAAAGAATGCTTTCAAATATAAATCTGATTTTGTTAAATGTTGTTAATTTATTACACAGGAAAGTTACTTTTATAGCTATTTACATAGACTGATAAGCTCATTTTAAATATTAGGACTTAAATTCGTAAGGGGAAAGGATTAGCACATATGAATACTTAGAGTAAGTCACAGGTAGCTTTATAAAACAGATTAAAATAAATTGAGGATCAATAGACCATGCTGAAATTCCCAGTAGCTTATAGCATGGCTCTGTGGTGCTTCGTGGTAGACCTGGCAGATATCAACTTTAAACAGATATTGTGGAATCCAGGAATATGGCATGAATGAGTGAATGTGACATGATTTGAAAGATATAGAGAAGCCCCTGACCAAGCTAATTTGGTCACTAACCTGCCACACCTGAAATGGCCATGATCTTTCAGAGACCTTTGCAGGGGGGTGAATAGAACTGGTATGCAGCGGTTTGTGTTTTTAGGAGAAGAAACTGGTTTTTCTGATTAATTCCATTCCCACCTACCGCTATTCAAGAATAACATACTCCTAGACTCTGTCCTTAGCAGGACTTCAGTCCCTCCATTTGTAGAATTAATTAGGGAGCCTGATAGTTTTCTTCTCAAGTCTGTGAGTCTTCTTTGAGTTAAATCCCTTATCACTAGAAAGAGGGAGGAAAGATAAGCATTAATGAATAATTTTTCGACTTAGAGGCTTTATTTTCATTATCACATTTAACATTCACAGCAACCTTGTCAGGCATCTGCTGTTATCCTTACTTTATAACCAGGTTCAGAGAAGTCAGGTCAGTTACTCACATGGATGGTGAAAGGCAAAGTTCATGCTAAAACTCAAGTCTGTCTGACTTACGAGCTCTCTGTTATAAAGACCTATGATGGGCTATTTCAACTAATTGTCTTTCAGCAGCACAAACATGTGTTTTTGGATTCCGTGGATCCAATTAGAAAAATCTGGTATAGCCAGAGGAAAGTTTTTGATTGTAGGGTGATCATGTGACTTACCAGGGGGCAGGCTTCCCAAACAGTTGAACAAATGAGGGGGGTGGGAAACAATGGGTCAAGTGCCTCACAGGCTTTGAGGAACAGGTCCTGATCTTTACATTTATTTCTATTTTCTTGTGAACTTGAACCCCCTCTGACCCCCACTTTTTGCCCACCCCCCACTCTATTCCTAGTTATATGACAATAGGCATCAGAAATATACTGATGTCTTAGAAGATTTTACTTCCGTGTTGATGTGAAGAGTGTGATAGCTTTTCAAGCAAGTGGGAACACTTCTGGTGCCTATAAAACATCAACCACCCCACCAGGCAAATTATTTCAACTTGCTCTTCTCTGTGTAGGAATTCCTCAGGCTGCTTTACTGGAGCCCCACCCCTCGGCCTGGAGACATTGCAGCTGGGCCTCTGGGTATTGGCAAGACATTCTATAACTTCAGTCATCAGAAGTAAAAATTACAACTTCTCTATTTATATTCTTACCCCAACCCAGAAACTTCTAGTTTTCCTTTTCACATGTTCCTTTAGGAACCTTATCATATAGAGTCTTTACCCTTTTAGAACATCAGGACAAATAAGGCCTTTTCTTAAGATTTTTCGACCTTCCTAAGACTGAAATACTCCATTTGCACCAACAAGAGACAAGGGGAGAATTTCACTCTAATTCCAATAACTTAATGGAAGCCCCTTAAGGTATCTGTAGTGCAATATAAGATAACCGTAGAGCCACCAAAATACAGACATTCAGCCTCCTGTATCCACGACCCTGACCAGGTATCCCAAGCCGGTCAGAAGTTAAGTGAGGCAAGCAAGGCTCCAAAGGGAGCAAAATTTAAGGAGGCCTCCTTAAATTTCACTCAGAGGGTGGCTCATTCTTAAGGAGGCGCTCACTCCCAAGGTCAAGGTGGCAGAGGTACAGGGTCAACACTTTCAAGTGAGAGCTTCCATAACTTTTGCACCCTAAGGTCTTCCCTCCTCCTAGGCCCAGCATGACTCTCTAGAGGCCATCAGCTCCAGGTGGTTCTTCAAAATAGCCCCCTCATGGGAAAGAGAGATGCAGAAGTGAGTCTACAGTACCAGGGTCCCATGACTGTCTGCACTTAGCTGCAGGTTGGAGCAGAAATGCTCAGGTTTCCCTGTTATCCTCTCACCTCAGGCCTCCAGACAGTGCCCAGGGCAAGGGAGGATTCAGTGCACCGAAGAAAGAAAGAACAACAGACTGTCCTTCCTTGAACACCCAGTGGCATCGGGCTGGCTCCCGTGGAGAGGCTCCTGAGCCCTGTGTGGTTGTGAGCAGGCACCTGAAGGCACCAAGCCCAGGTGAGTTCTGCCAGCCCTACAGACCCCGGAACAGGAAGCTCCATCTTTTCTTTTCTTTTGTTCTTCTTCTTTTTTTAAAATTTATCTTTATTGTTGAAAGTATTGTAGATGTCCCCCTTTCCCTCCCCCGCCCATTGACCTCCTCCACCCAGCATAAGCTCTGTCTTTTCTTAATAAATATTTGAGAATGGTTTCATAGAAGAAAGTGGGATAAAAATTCTGTAGGACTCTAATGTGCTTCATTATATTTCTTCTCCTTTTAAAAAATATATAAAATAATGCTCTCCATTCTATATGTTGATGGCACCACCAATCCACGGGGGGGAGGGGGGGAGGCACAGGTGCTCTTTGAGATGTTTCTGCAACGATGGGAATAGGCTTTGGCTGGTGTGTCCTTACTCTCTCATTCAGTCAGTTCCTTTGTGTATTTTTGAAAGACTCAGAGATGTCATGTTTCTATTGGGATTAAAACTATAAACTTGTACTTTTTGTTATTACCTAACCCAGTGAACTAACCTAAGCTAACAATAACAACAGCAATAATGGCAATATTCATTGACACATTTGACCACCTACTATATGCAGGCACAGTTCAAACAAACATTATAAACATTACATAATTTAATCCTCACACTAATCCTGTAAGGAAGCTGTTACTTAGTCACTTGCAGAATAGAAAACAGAGACTAGGAAAATTTAGATAATTGGCCCATGTTCATAAGTCTAGAATGTGGCAGAGTTGGAATTCGTTTGATTCCAAAATCTGTGTTCTTGTTGCTTCCATAAAACCTCGTTTTGAACATTTTAGATTTAACAAAGTAGAAGTAACTCTTTTCATAATTTGAAATAAACAGCTAAGTGGTGGTATTTTGACCTACGTTTTTATTGGTGGCGGTTGCCCTGTATTCCAGAACCCAGTCTGCTTTGATGTCTTTAAAGAGATGAGCTCTGACCCCATGATTGAGAACGTCTTCTTCTCTCCCTTGAGTCTCCCGTCCGCCCTGGCCGTGGTCTTCTTTGGGGCCAGAGGAGACGGTGCATCTCAGATGGAAAAAGTGTGTCAGAAACACACTTGCAGCCATGTATGGAAGAAAATCAAGTGATGACTTCAAACCTCGCTTGTTGCGGAGATTTCACAGACATCCAACTGTGTCAACACCAGAGACTGTCCACCTTCACTTAAGGGTACCTACCTAATTGGCTCTTTCAAAAATGGGTGCAAAAGGCAAGATTTTCCAAAGCTCTGTTCTGAGGAGCAGGGGATGAGTGGGCACAGCAGTGGCGGAGCGGGGAGAGGCATTCGATGAGGCCACCCTGACCCACAGCAAAACCGGGAGTCTCCACTTCCACCCCCACCATATGCACCCTTATGTTCCCAAGGCCTTCCTGCATAAAGAATATTTTGCAAGGATTTACAATCTGTACTATTACAATTCCAGAGAGATCACCAGTGCTCTAACTCAACCAATAATTTTGGGTGACTGGAAGAAATATTTCTTAGTAGGCATCTTTCAACATGCCTACTATCTCTCTGCTTATTATAGAGGAAATAACGAACTAGTGGAACAAGCTTCTCCCCAGTCAGGATTCTATTGGAAATGAATTTGAAATCTGGAGTCAAACTCTGGATTTAATAATATATTTAAACTGAAGAAAAATTAAATGTGAAAACTCTTGTGTTCAATTTTTTTCTATTTCCATGTGTTGGGGGAATAGGACCTAAGTGTCTTACCCATAACAGGTGCTCAGTAAATACATGTTGTAAAGAGGGAGAAATTGTTGACGACAAGAATGCTGCTGGGACCTTTACAAGTCATCCTGGGAT